TCTCTCTCTCTCTCTCTCTCTCTCTCTCTCACACACACACACACACACACACACACACACACGCGCGCGCGCGCGCGCGCACACACACACACACAACTGATTACATGTAATCTGGATTACTATATGTAAATAATCAGATTGCAAAAATTAAGAACTTGTAGTTAGATTATATTATATTTTAAAATACTTGCAATCAGACTTTTACACATACACACACACACACACAAACACACACACGCACGCACGCACGCACACACACACACACACACACAAACACACACACACTGACATGCTTTCTTAAATGTTCAGTGTTATTTTTTTCAGTTTAAATGATAAAAAAGCATGCAAATAAATCAAATAATTAATTAAAAATATATAATAAAGAATTACCTTGACTAGTTAGTTGTTAATGCTTAAATAGTTAATTTATTATTTAAATCTGGACTCTTTTAGGCTCCATAATAATAATAAGATCTGAAGCGAAGATAAACAACTAAAGTAACTCTCTTCACTCATGCTGTTGTTTGAATGCTGCTTATTTATACACTAGGTTTACATGAAAAGGATCACATTTCTTGCATGCTACTGAAGTCAACCACATGAAATGGTTGACTTTTCCCACAAACGTCAATGAATGTGTTTTATGAGATGAGATTTAGGAGGGATTAGTTTAGTTCTTATGTGTTCAAAACTGTGCAGTCATGGTAACTTGACTGAAAGGAAGAGCAGGAAAAGTGTTTGTTGTCTTTTTCTCATCTTTGCACACTCACTATGGCAATAGCCACAGATTAATGATGTTGGGAAACTTAAAAAACTTAAATGATTTTTAAACGTTTACATTTCATTCTGACCCTTTGCCTCCATAATCCTCATAGACTGTAGTTGCTAACATCCGAATGTAATTGATGTAGTTTAAAACAAAGCAGATTGCCGCCTGCTTATCAGTATACAAGAAAGCTGAACTCTCTTACTGTACTTCTTGAAACAATTTCAAAAGCCTCAGGATAAGAAAAGTGTAGATAATGGACTCTGTGCATGTGAAGTCTGTGAAAAGGGTTAAACAAATGATCACTATTTGGTCCATTTTGTCTTCAGAGCTATTATGCTATTGAGAGCTACAGCAACTGCTGCAAGCTATTCTGTTTACACAGGAGGGAGAATGTTTCAGTAAAGGATCTCAGACTACACTTAGGTGAGAGATTAACTGATTGTAAGGTCAAAGGCTACAGGGCAGAAGACACTGATGGTTATTGTGTGACAGAAAGTAATTTGGACAATGTTCTACTAGAATTAAAATTAGACTGGCTATACCTTGGTGTTAATGAATAACTAAATGCAGTGGGCTCCAAAATGATCAGGATGTGTGAGACATAAAATCCAATTTAAGGGGGTCATATGATGTTGCTAAAAAGAACATTATTTCGTGTATTTGGTGTAATGAAATGTGTTTATGCGGTTTAACGTTAAAAAAACATATTATTTTCCACATACTGTACATTATTGTTTCTCCTCTATGCCCCGCCTTTCTGAAACGCATCGATTTTTACAAAGCTCATCGGTCTGAAAAGCGAGGTGTGCTGTGATTGGCCAGCTATCCAGTGCGTTGTGCATTGCGGCTTTGCAGCTTTACAGATCTTCTTTATGCACCAAGAGCTTGTAACACTCCAAAGAGAAAGGAAAAATTTAAATTGCATCTTATGACCCCTTTAAAATGATTTTTAACTGCACTTTCTATTTATATGTGCATTTTAATAATTGCATGTAAGTTTGATAATTCATTTGCATTTGTATTTTTAAATGCATTTATCACACTGCAGACTATGCAGGGAACAGCAAAAGCTAAAAAGATGCTTGAAAAAGAATGAAATAATTTTTTACTTCTTTGTACATTGATCATTTATACATTTTCTTTTCTTATATTCTTACTATATGTTAGATAACAGACATATTTTGTATTTAATGCACAACCATGTGAGTGAACCTTTAAATATGCAACAAATATAAACGTGTCACTTGAAAAATGGTGTCACAGCACCTAAAATAGTGTTAAAATAGGAGTTTTTTTGTGTTATCTTAAAAAAAGTTTGGCCCACATTATATGCCAGCTACTTTTATGAGGATTTGTGAGAAATAAAACTACTTTAAAGAACATTTTCAAATTATTACATAAATGCATTTGTATGACTTAATTTTATTAATTAATTAGTGTTTTCAAATGTATTTATCACACTGCATAACTATGCAGTGAACAGCAAAAAGCTAAAAGGTGCTTAATACAGAAAACAAAGAGTTTGCACTTAATCTTTCATTCTTTGTACATTAATAATTTCCTTTCTTATATTAGGTCAAATATTGTATTATTTTAAACATATTATGCACAATCATGTGGGTAGGTAACATGTATGTGACAAATAAAAACTTGACACTTGAAAAATGGTGTCACAACACCTAAAATATAGTTATTTTGAAGAAAAAAAAAGTTGTTTTTAAAGTCATATGTTATGAGTTCATATAAATTTGATAATTAATTTGTATTTTTTTAAGTGCATTTTTCACATTACAGGACTATGCAGTAAACAGCAGCAAGCTAAAAGGTGATTAAAATATTTTATTTTTCAAATGCATGTATTCATTTATTTCTAGATCATTCTTTTGTTATATTAGATAACATACACATACATTTTACTATTTAATGCACAACCTTGTGGGTAGATAATGTGTACAGTATATGACAAATAAAAACTAGAAACAAAAGAAAAATGGTTTTTCTTTGGGCTATTGTGAAAAAAAAAAAGTTTAGCCCATATTATTTTCCAGCTACCCATTCAGAGACACAGATCTTTGTGAACAAACATGCTATTTTTTCTCAGTGGCGTCATCTAGACACCCTTTGATGGAAGATCTCAATCTGTCATTATCTAATGGTGTGGTGCTGTGTGTCTGAGCGTAGATTGCTTCTCTTTGATCTCTGTCTGTTTGTGTTTGCCTCTCTTTTCTGATTGCCTCTGCATTTTTTGCTCTCTCCATGCCCAGCCTCTCTCCTCCTCCTCCCCAGAAGCCTCCAGAGCGGGACAATCCCACCTCCCTCCTCTGAGTTTCCACACAACACCCACCTCCTCCACTTCTCCCATCTCACTCCGCAGGGGTGTCAATTAGACAGTTGCTGTGGAAAGCGGTGGAGTGAAAGAGAGAAGACAAACAGTTGTGGAGTGACAAGTGCTGTGATTTCAGGTAAGGACTTGTCTGATTAACTATGTTTGTGTGTGTGTTTGTTTGTGAGTGTGTAACAATGTCACTTTCTAGATCTGTTGTTTTCATTCATGAAAGATGAAGGGTGAAATACTATAAAGAAGTTTAGCCAAGAAAAACAATGTTAACATTTAGATGAACTGACTGAAGATGACCAGTATATGTGTTTATTAGTCACATCTATTTTGTATAAATTTCTACCAAATAAGAAATTTTGAATAAAAATGGCACATGGGAGAATTTACCTTACACTCTTAAAAATAAAGGTTTCAAAAGGAGGTTTTGGGTTCCACAAAGAACCTTTCAGTCAACAGTTCATAAAAGAATCATTTTGTTCTTTATTGGCATTGATGGTTCCATGAAGAATAGGTAAAAATCTATAGAACCTTTTGGATTCAAATAAGTTCTCTATAGCGGAAAATGGTTCTTCAGATTATTAAAATGGTCCTCACACTAAGAAAAAATGGGTCTTTTTAGAACTGGGGAACCAAAAATAGTTCCCCTTTTGGAATTTTAAGAGTGATTCTTAAAAGAACCTTTTGGGAAAATTCCATGGATGTTGAAGGTTCTTCATGAAACCATAAAATGCCAATAACTTAAGAGTGTAGACATTATTTTGAAATTTCTACCTCAAATAATGCTCTCTTTGTGAAATCTGTGAAACTATTTCTAAACTTCAAAATCTTTAATTTGTTTTTCATATAGGCCGTAAGAAAGTTTGAATGATTTCCTAATGATTTTGACTGAATGAATCCTCAATTGGTCATACTGTAAGAGGAATCACTCTCAGAATATAGTCATTAACTTATCCAGGTGAAAGTCAAGTGTAAAGCATTCTAAATAAATCTCTGTCCACCTTATAAATGAAATCAGCATTTTTATTGAGCTTTCTTTAAGCTTAGAATAACAATACTCCATACTCGTCTTTTTTTTTTTTTTCATCTGGGAGTCTTGCAAGCACTGAGAACGGTTGGTGTGCTGCCAAATAGGGGCCTAAGCTGTTTAGAGAGCGAACAGCCTCCCCCTTTCCCTCTGCTCATCTTTGCTTTGGAAATAGTTGGCTGCTCGTTACCCTGTCATTAGCGAGATGAGAAGCAGTGCACAGTGCTGTGAGGAAAGGCAGCCGATTTCTGCTGGCTCCAGCCGGTGTCTCCAGTCAGTCCCAGCTGTACAGAAAGGCCACTTCTTCAGAGAGGAACGCACACTTTTTTTCCCGTGTGACCCAGAGATTTGAGCTGTGCAGTGGAAGGAAATGATAGTTTGCATGACCTCACCTTGTAAGAAGGACAGTTACATACCCTGTATTTCAAAAAATGATTTGCTTAATCGCTACCTTTATTTGAAACATGCTTAAAAAAAGATACAATTACTTGAGAGGTTTGTTTTTACAGAATTTCGAATTTTTATTTTTTATTTTTACACCACTTGTTTTTTTTTCTAAAATAGCAAAAACCTAGAAAAAATGTTATGCCTTATAATTTGATACATCATATATTATTCACATTTAATTATATTTGTAAATCACTTTGGATAAATAAATAAATATATATATATATATCATGCTAAGTATACTAGATTTTTATGTACTTAATAACAAAAAATACACTACAATTGTACTTTTGGTATACTAAACTGGTAATCTGAAAGTCTGCTAAATTGGAACAATTAATTTTGTACTTAATGCACTTTAATTGTTCAGAAGTAGTGCTGAAGTCCAACTAAAGATATACTGAAGTATATTTGATTGTGCTAAAGTGGAACTATTGCGAGTATACTTCAGGTACACTTTAAATATCTTGCATTTAAAGACCGATATTATACAAAGATCATATAATCCTCATCAATAGTGACATTAAAACACATTTTAGGCTTAATACTAAGTAGTACTCCAAATAAAGTTTAATTATAATTTTTGATATCAGTAAGTCTCAAGCGATGTCAGTAAATATGTGAATAGATTTGAACTATACTTTGTTTGAAATGTATTTTAAATATATTATTTTATTTTTTACTATGGTGTGTGTGTGTGTGTGTATATATATTTATGTGTTACATTATTTATAATAATATATTAATATCTTGTGCAATTGAACTTATTTTTTTCACAAAATTATTTATTTATTATTTACTGTATTTAGGCTGCATGGTTGAGGAAGTAAAGCAATTTATCCTTTATTTAACTTTGTATTAAATTGGTTAATAACTTTTTGCAGCTGTTGCAGTTGCAGTAGTTACCTCCATGGCCATTTAAATTTAATTAAACATTTTGAGCGGCACATTTTGTCATTGCTCGTATTGTTTTTCACACTTGGTCTTGGCTCGTTTTGATGACAGGAAAACTGCCCCCACATGTTTGAACGGAAGCAGAGCGAAGTTTAGACAGAGTGCAGAGGGGTCCGGGGCCACCCACCCGGCCTGCCTTGGGCTTTCCTGACTGGAGCCTCTTAATCACCACGATATCTACACCAAAACAGTAGGACGTGAATCTTGGCTAAACTTGAAACGTATCTCCCCATCCCTCCAGCCCATAACCATAATGAACAAACAACGTTACTACAATAATATCCAATTACTACAAATAGACCTATGTGAAACGCTCTCATAACATCCTCATGCTTCAATCAGCTGGCTTTAACTGAGTCTGATTGCTTGTGATTGGTAGGATTGTTGTGTTTAATGACCTGCGACTTTTGTGGTTTTAAATGCCATTTTTTTACTCACGTTTTTTGCTAAATTACATAGTAGTAAATATGAAGGAGAGTGGTCAATAATGGCTTTCTTGTTTGTATGTTTTTATGAGACAAAGAAATCTTTATCTGTTTATGAAAACAATATTGAGTATGAACCATTTTGAGCTTAATGTATGTATTTTACATGAAAGTATTATTAAATAATGCTAAGTGTTTCACATTAATGGCTATTAATTTTTATAATTTTTTGGGGGTGAGAAAATGACATTTCTGTGTCAGAATAACTGGTGTTCCCCATATATTCCCATGAAAACATATTATATATAATAATTACAATAAATTCAGCTTGTGGTTTTGGTTAGACAGTGTTTGTGAGATGTTTGCGTCTCATATTCCACATCTGAAACCAGCAGCTCTTCTGGGATGATGCTGGTGTGATTGTTCAGGTTCTTACAAGATAAGAGTTCAAAACAAGTGTCTCTTCAATGCATTTTTGCTGTAACCTTTTCTAGTCAAGCCTCATTACGATTTTGTGTTTACCTGAACCCTTGAAGTATCCCTTCAACACTTGTCTGTTGAACTTGCTGCAAACCTTCAGAGAACATCCCAAACAGGGGTGAAGTGTCTAATCACAGACTGTACAGCATGTAGAATCATGCCCTGAGAACAATGTTGACAGTTTCTAAACTGTGAGATCACACAAGCAGAGTTGGGAATGCTCTGGAAGTCTGATGTGGTTTATGCACAAAAACGTTTGAAATGCCTTAAAGGCACTCCAGGGATTTTAAGCCATTAATCAGAGAGGAAAGACTTTTTTTTGCTGTTGGAAAAGTAAGTAATCTGTTGCAACCTCTTGCATTGAATGTGTACTTGCAGTTTACTTCAAATCTTAAAAGTGTGTTTTTAAATAACTATACTTGCAGATAATATATTAATGAAATCAAAAGTCACTTAAGTGTACTTAAAGAGAGACACTTTCTTGATTATGTTTCTGAACACACTTAAGTACACTTTTTAAAAGTGCACTTTCAAATAACGTCAAATAAAAAGTTTTACTTTGTTATCATTGTTTTAATAATCTTTTGGTGTGTTTTAAATAAGTACACTTATTTTGATGTGTTGACTAACATACTAAAGCACATGTAAAGTACTTGATTATAATTTTAACTGTAATATATCAATATAATATATTTAAAATGCACTAAACTGCAACTTCATCATTACAAAGGAGTAATTTCAAATATATTTAAATGCATAACAAACAATCTTCAACAGAAATGACATTCAAATATATTTTAGTTGAGCATAAATGCATGGCAGTACATTTAGCAGAACTTTAACCATATTTCAAAGATAATAAAGGTAATAATGCAATTACATATAAAGATGTTAAGTCCTACTTAAGTAGGTCTACAAAGTTCAGCTAATTGTATTGAATATAAATTTAAACTTTAATGCTCTAATTTCATTTAATTGTAAATGATATGCGATTAAGTGTTTGAAAACATTAAATTAAATTCACACTTAAGTACATTTTTTTAAAGTGTTATTTTATAAAAAGCAAGAGATAAAGTGTATATCTTTTCCACAAGGGATCGTTTAAAAAATATTGAGCAGGATGATCGTTTTTTTATTCTTGAATAATAATAAAATAATTTTATTCTTGTTGTTATTAATTTTTTTCACTGTTAAATAATATTATAATTTTCCTTTTTTAAATGTAAGAAGAGGCTTAACACATTGGCTTTTACTCACTGGATTTGGGAGGCATGTGGTTGAGATGGGCTGCAGTGATGTGAAAATGTCCCAGTGCTAATCTCTACAATGCACAACAAGGAATTTGGCCCTTTTTTGGAGAATAACCTGTGAAGCGAACCCATAATCCTCCCTGTTATAGACTTCCTGGGCCTGAAGTGTGAAAGCTTAGCTTACAAACACACAATCCTCTTTCAGTGACATCACGGCAGTAGAGGTGATGAACATCCTTATGACAGGGAAGTAGCTAAAATAAATGTACAAATGTGCTTTTCTTCCTGGAGACATTCCGGTTCTCGAATCTGATTGGCCGAGCAGCATTCTCTAATAACAGTCCAACAGAACTGGGACAAGTGACTGTCTCATTGAATCATTCGTTCAAATTATTAGTTCAAAATACTGATTCTTTCAGGAATTAAATGAATGAGTCATTGAATCATTCACTCAGCTGATTCGTTTAAAATACTGTATCAAATCACGCTACTGTGTGTTGCTCAGAGACACAACAGATGATTCTACTTTGACTATGTTTACGATGATTGTCATTAGCGAAGCAAAACTACACAGATATTGCATTTAAAGAGCGATTGTGCTGTGTTTTAGGCCTTTTCTGTGAGGTACTGAACACATGCAACATGCATGAGGACAGTAAAACCATGTGCCCTCAATGAAAACATGATGTAATGTCAAACTAAAGGTGTCTGGATTTGAATAGAGTTAAACAAGGGTTTGGGATCTCAATAAGGAGTTGTTTTACCACATCTGTTTCCAGGTATCATATGTTTTAAGGTGCCGCACATGGACTAGATGAAAATATGTTTTACTAATATGTTTCATCAACATTGCCTGACATCACATGATGGAAGTGCGATAAGTAACCAGGTTAACACCTTTATTTTCACATTTTATAATGCAATTTGATAAAATGTTGAAAAAACATCATATTCTGGAAGATTTCTGGAGTGCTGGAATAGTGTTAACCTAAATATGAAAGGCCAAATCCTGTTGATCTTTTGTTCTTTCCAAACTACAGCATTTGCTGTAATTACTAGCTTATTAAAAGTAATGAACACATTGTTAATCCTATAGCAAGTGCTTGACATTTCATTTGAAATTAAATGAAAAACTGGAATTCATTTTGAATATAATTAGCTGAACTTTAAAGTGCTTTTTTTTACCCACTTAAGTAGGACTTAAGTACATCTTTATGTGTAATTTCAGAATTACTTTTATTGTCTTTGAAATATGATTAAAGTGTACTGACGAAATGCACTGACAAGAATTTATGGTAAGCTAACTTTAATATAATTTCTATTGCAACATGTAGTCATGAATTTAAATATATTTGACAGATGAAAACATGGCAGCCTGAAAATGGTTTGAACTATTTTTTTTTTCAAGTCAAAAATATACGAAATTAACTTAAATACATTAATTTATACCTAATTTTCTTTTAACATTTATTGGTTAATCAGGTAGAAATAAGCTTTTTTAAGGTAACAGTTGCAGGTTATCACTTTTTACAGTGTAATTACACATTTGTAATGATGAAGTTGCAATTTACTGCATTTAAAATATATTAACTTTAAATATAATATCAAATAACACTACAGGTAAAGTCATAATCAAGTAGTTTACATGTGCTTTAAATTTTTTTAAACTGATTTAAAATGCGCTTTAAAGTAAAACTTCTAATTTGACATTATTGCGAAGGGCACTTTGTAAAATTGTACTTAATTGTGTTAAGTTTCATTAATAGTTCTTAGATATTTCTAAGATTTTAAGTGCACTACAAGTGCACATTCAATACAATTACACACAGAGCAATCAACCCTCTTATACATTAAGGAAGCAGAGACAGACTAATGGTAAACAGAGCACATGCAGTTACTTGTTTCGCTTCATTGTGCTCATGGTTGTCCTGAACTTTACGCTTTTTAGAAGTGAAAAACCCTTCTCTCACAGCTTAACTGTGGGTTTATAAAGTGAAGTATAAAGCCAAGTATTAGTGCTCTGCATTTATCCCATCCAAAGTGCACACACACAGCAGTGAACACACACACACACCGTGAACACACACCCGGAGCAGTGGGCAGCCATTTATGCTGCGGCGCCCGGGGAGCAGTTGGGGGTTCGGTGCCTTGCTCAAGGGCACCTCAGTCGTGGTATTGAAGGTGGGAGAGAGCGCTGTACATTCACTCCCCCCACCTACAATCCCTGCCGGTACGAGACCCGAACCCTCAACCTTTGGGTTACGAGTCTGACTCTCTAACAATTAGGCCACGACTCCGACATTATGATGGCAAAATGAAGTAAGAATGGTTTTGTAAACCTTTGCAGCATTATCTGTTCAACAAGAATTTGTATTTTAATTAGTACTTTGTGTTCAGTCATTTTTTAGAGCTGCCTGTGTTTTCTCTTTGTTTCTGACTGTCTTTATGTTGAGTCGACCCTGTTTGTACCTCTATGAAATTTCACGCCATCCCAACAAAACAGATTGATTACATCTTGCTTTTTAAGCTACGGAAGTCTCTGTGGCCTGGCTTTGACTTTGTTCAGCCTGAGGCTGTGGAACAATCTTAGAAAACTGGGTTTTTCAATGGAGAAAGACAGCAGGAAGAAAAGAGGAGAGGCCTTTAAAAGAAAATATGTTAGTGAGTAAACAAAGACGGACTCATTCCAGATGTTTTGATGCTAGGAGAAGACCCACTGTGACCCAGTGAGCTCAAATTCACAGAAATGTACTGCACAAATCCATTGCGCGTTTCATTGTGTTGCTTCGAGATGAATTGAGCCAAAAATATGACTAATTACAAATTTGTAATTAATAACATAAAGTATGTTTATGGTCTGGAAGAATGTTTTTTTATTTTTATTTGAGTTGATAATTTTGAGTAATAGTGCCTGAATGAAGCTGTAAGGTGGAAAGCACGTATCATGCCCTTGAGTCTGTGTTTTAATGGCTCATTAAACTGCAGGAGGAAGAACTGACCCTCTTTAGCAGTGTGTTCAGTGCTGACTGATGAGACAGCCTCAGTCTCCAGACTGGTCACTCCAGCTCCTAGAGATTGTTTAGGGTCAAAGGTCATCTTTTAAGTTGACGTCTCACCTCAGTGGGACTGGACTCGGAAGGACTTTTTCCCCTATCACTCAACAAATGTGTCAGACAGAGCTGACGAAGATGTTTTAGCCTCATGCTGAGGAGAATCTGATTCCCAAATTCCTTCGTTTGCAGGTTATTTATTATGGATTAATGGGAAAGTTGCATCTCATTTATCCATTTATGTCATTATTAACATGTGAATATCATTAAAAAAAAAAAAAAAAAAAAAAATCTCTCTATTTATTCCTTCTCTTTCTAGCTTGTACTTATTTGAACAATGTCTAAGAACTTGGTATTACACATTTATCCATTTATGTCATTATTAATATGTGAATATCATTAAAAAAAAAAAAAAAAACCTAACGATCATGTCCGGATCATATTTCACCTCAATATTAAAAAACAAACAAATAATAATAACATGTATTTACATTTTTACATTTTTATTTACAATTTTAAATTACTGGAAGTAAATGTTATACATATATATATATATATATGTATAATAATTTACTCATTTATGTAATGTAAAATATACTAGTATATTATTTAAATTGTGTATATACGTATATATATATATATATTAGTGCTGTCAATTATTATTATTATTATTATTATTATTATTATTATTATTATTATTATTATTATTATTATTATTATTATTATTATTATTATTATTACAGTGTTTTTTAAATACTTTTTCATATTTGATATTTTAATTAGTTTTTTAATTTAAGATGTTTTGATAATAAAAGTTATTAATATATTTTAAATTGATATAATAAGTATATAATTTTCTTATTATTATCTTATTAATATCACTAGGCTCATTTTATCAATAGGCTTTATTTCCTTTATGCAGTGACATAAAGGACCTTTGTGTTTAGGCGACAAAATAAAGTGTAATGATATTTTTGTTTTCTTTCCAGATATCACGTCTCATATAATGATTAGAGAGAGAACAAGATCCTGACCTCTGACCTGTTACCCATGAGCAATGCTTCTGATCGTCTCACATTAGTATCAAGAAGAAGTGGAGATGACTTTGTTTGAAAACATTCACTGGACAGAGCGAGACCAAACAACAGTTCCTCCAGTAGATTCGTTCATTCCCTCACTGCAGAGGTCCTGATCCACACAAACTCAACACAATGACCGCAAAAGACAGGACATATTTGTCTTTCCTCTTGCTGGGTCTTTTCCAGCACATTCAGGGCTCTCTGGTAAAAACCAATCTTGGTCTTAAGGTGAAGCGAGGCCAGTCGGTCTTCCTGCAGGAGGAGGATCTGCAATTTCACATACCCAGAGCCAAGGACGCCTGCAAGCTGGAAGTTGTGCTGAATGAGCCCATTACACAGCGGGTCGGCACACTGACCCCTCAGGTTAACCCTTTTTCTGCATGCATTGAATTATCCACTAGACATTCAGTGATGAACATGCTCATACAGTTTCCATCTGAGAGCATTTGACATTTGAAGAACTATCCGTGTGAATAAGAAGTGTGCTTAATTGTATTGAATGTGCACTTGTAGTGTACTTCAAATCTTAAAAGTATATGTGACCCTGGAGCACAAAAGCAGTCTTAAGTCGCTGGGGTATATTTGTAGCAACAGCCAACAATACATTGTATGGGTCAAAATTATAGATTTTTCTTTTATGCCAAAAATCATTAGGATATTAAGTAAAGATCATGTTCCATGAAGATATTTTGTAAATTTTCTACCGTAAATATATTAAAACTTAATTTTTGATTAGTAACATGCATTGCTAAGAACTTAATTTGGACAACTTTAAAAGCGATTTTTTTCAATATTTTGATTTTTTTGCACCCTCAGATTCCAGATTTTCAAATAGTTGCATCTCGACCAAATATTGTCCAATTTGGAAAAACTGACACTTAAGACTGGTTTTGTGGTCCAGGGTCACATATTTAAAAAAAGACTTGCAGATAGTATAATATTAATGAAAGAAAAGGCCACTTAAGTGAACTTACAGAGAGACGCTTTCAAAAAGTGCACTTTTTAATAGTGTCAAATTAAAAAAAAAAGACTTTAAAGTACATGCTTTAATAATATTGTTGTGCTTTAAAGAAGTACACTTATTTTGATGGGTTGACTAACGTACTAAAGTAGATGTAAAGTACTTGATTAAAATTGTAACTGTAGTGTGTTATTCAGTATTACATTTAAAGTTAATATATTTGAAATGTACTAAATTGCATCTTCATCACTGCAAATGTGTAGTTACAAATATATTTAAATACACAGCATACAAGTTTCAATAGAAATTACATTAAGTATATTTTAATTTATATTAGGTTGTCGGAATTTGGTACTAAGTAACCTTCTGTTCTTTCTACAACTATTTCACATTTGTCAGGTTTTTGACTGTCACTTTTTGGCTGATGAAGTGAAATACACTCATAATGGATGTCCGATTTTAAAAGAAGATACTGTTAAACTTCGTCTGTACAGGTATGTTTTGCATGTTGATATTATTACAGTTTAGTACATTCAATTAGAAGTCAGATAAAATTGAAATCTGTTTTTGTTTTGCTGTCTAAATATGTACATTTCATGTGGATTTGTCGCTTAGATTTACAGAAACAGAGACATACAGTGAGCTGTTTTCTCTCCGTGTTGAAATCATGGAGCCGGACTGTAATGTGATTAAGTTCGGGTCACAGAATCTCGAGGTGCCGGAGTTTTATGGCCTCTCCAATGTTCTGGATGGCAATGTTGTGTCCTTCCACTATGAACACAGACATAATATTGAGTGCACAGTTTGGGTGACAACTTTAGAGACGCATCTACCTGTTCACGGTCAGCTAGTCACTGGAGAACCGGAGAAACCAGAGGGGCCGAGAGGGGATGAACCAGATAGTTTTGTTTCTCTACGAAGACAGCTGGGTAAAATCGTTACAAACAATTTACCAGTTTTCCTTCTGTATAAACACATCCAGGTTATCGACATATAAACAAAGCTACTTTAGAAATTATTCAATGAAGTCAAATATAGTGAAATGAAAATTAAAGGATGCTAAAATATTCCAGGGTCATAATTCACTTTAGTGGCAATAATGTTATTTTAGTGTTATGTACCATATATACTATAATTATATACTATATATACGTGTGTGTATTTATATATACATAATAAATATACACAAAACACACATATTTTATGCAAACAAACATTTTTTGTATGCGATTAATCGCGATTAATCGTTTGACCACTAATATATATATATATATATACACACACACACGTGTATATATATACATATATATATATACATATATATATATATATATATATATATACATACATACAATAGTATTTCTTTGTTAATATTTTGAACTAGCTTTTCAGTTTAAATTTAAATGTTTGTTTAAATAATTTGATTGTGCATTTGTCATTTTTATTCTTTTTTTGGAAATATTTATATTTAACTTTAATTTCTTTTTATTTCAATTTAAAATCAATTTTTAATTTATTCTTTTATTTATTTTGAAATGTATACATTTATTTTATAATCATTGTTAAGTTTGTCATCTAATATTACAATTTTATTTCATTCCAACTTATCCAACTTAACAAAAAAAAAAATAATTAAATGAGAAATTATATTAATGCTGCAATTAAATATATATTTTTGCAGACAGTTTTTGGATTAGAGGGATGATAATAGAATTTTGGAGACAACTTGTTACAGTTTTGCAGAACAGCTGATAGTATCATATTTAGTTTGTTTGTTTATTTATTTTGTATGTTATGTTATGTTAACATTTTAAGTTTTCAGAATAGATGAAAATAATTTATATACTTGATATATACTCTGTATACTATTATAATATGAACATTATAGCCTAATATAAGGAGAACATTTTCATTTATTTCACAACCTAGTTTCATATTTAATATCAGGGCATTATTTCCTCTGTCTCCCTGCAGATAATAAAGCCAGAGCTCATTGTAAGAGTGACGAGTGTCTAAAGGGTCTTAAACTGCTGAAGATCACCAAAGTACCATGCAATGATTTCCTCATGATGGGCATCCGTTACCACCACACTGACCCTCCATCTCCAGATATAGACTACATCGCCATTAGACTGGACCTCACAGACACCCGCAGCAGGAGCATCATCCAGGTGTTCATTAAAGCATCTTCTTATTACTGCGTTTTTACAATACTATTTTAACAGCAGTTCTGTGTGTCTCCACTCAGTCAGAGCAGGCCTGGATCCTGGTAACCATTAAGGACGCAATGCCCAATCAGCCGCCCAAGCCTGCTTTTATGTCCATGTTCATCTTAGAGGTGGACCAGTTCATCCTGACTCCGCTTTCCACGGCAACGCTGGACGCAGAGGATGATGAGACGCCCAAACAGCGGCTGGTGTTCAACATCACTAAAGCTCCTAGTGAGGGCTTCATCACTCACCTGTCTGACCACACCAAACCCATCACCTCCTTCACCTGGACGGATCTCAACGACATGCTGATCAGCTACCAGCCTCCAAACTCCAGCCACACACAGCGCAGGAACTATGAGGTACTGAAGCAACTTCAGCATACTATTAAAAAGCATAGAAATAATTTACTTTAAAGGAATATAATTAAGTGTGAACTGTATGTAATATTTTCAGACACTTAACTGCATGCGATTTACAATTAAATGAAAATGTTATTATAGTTGAAATTTGTATTAAATGCAGTTGGAAATTAAGAGTGCTTTTTGACCTATTTAAGTAGGACTTTATATGCAATTTCTTCTATTGTCTTTGAAATATGGTTAATGTGCTGACAAGCATTTATGGTAAACTAAAATATATTTGAATGTCATTTCTATTAAGACCTGTATGACATATATTTGTAATTATACATTTGTAATGAAGAAGTTGCAATTTAGTTTATTTACAGTATATTTAAATACAGTATTTTAACTTTAAATGTAATATTGAATAACACACTACAGTTAAAATTATACTTACTGTAGTACTTTGCATGTGCTTTAGTATGTTAGTCAACACATACTGCACTTCTTTAAAACACAGCAAAAGATTATTAAGACTAAAAAGACTATTAAAACTTTTAGTTTTACATTGTTATAAAGCGCTTTTTAAAAGTCTACTTAAGAGTGTTAAGAAACATAGTAATGCAAGTGTACTCATCTTAAGTACACTTAAATGGTTATTTCTGCTAGGTGGAGTTTGAAGTGCATGATTTCTACTTTGAGAAAAGCCAGCCTGTGATTGTACACGTGTCAATCAGGACAGCTGATACCAATGCGCCAAGAGTATCGTGGAACATGGGTCTGTATTGTGCATCATTTTCATATACAATATACACAACATTTTATTTTGGGTGTAATATTTATTTTTTAAGATTTGGAAAAGAAAAAAATTCCACTTGTGTCATCTCTGATTACTTTGTGCCACTATTAAATGCGACCCTGGAGCACAAAAGCAGTCTTAAGTCGCTGGGGTATATTTGTAGCATTGTATGGGTCAAAATTATAGATTTTTCTTTTATGCCAAAAATCATTAGGATATTAAATAAAGATCATGTTCCATGAAGATATTTTTTAAATTTCCTACTGTAAATATATTAAAACTTTATTTTTGATTAATAATGTGCATTGCTAAGAACTTAATTTGGACAACTTTAAAGGCGATTTTCTCTATATTTTGATTTTTTTGCACCCTCAGATTCCAGATTTTCTGATGATGTATAAATCTCAATTTCGAAAAATTGACCCTTATGACTGGTTTTGTGGTCCAGGGTCACAAATTACCCTGAACAACATGCCTCTGTAGTGTGCTTCACTATATAGAATGTTTGCTTGTAGTGTACTTCAGTTCTTAAAAATACATATTCTTTAAGGAAATAAATGGCCACTTATGTGCACTTAAAGAAAGATACTTTCTCGACTGCTTTTAATGTCAATTGAAATGTTTTGCTTTAAAGTACATTTTAAATCATTATTTTGTCACCCTTTAAAGAAATGCACTTATTTTTATGTGATGATTAACAAACTACCATAGATGCTTGTCAGTACATTTAGCAGTACACTTTATCCATATTTCGAAGACAATAGAATTATGAGACTACATATAAAGATGCACTAAAGCCCTACTACAGTAGGCCCCCCACATGATTGTAAAGCGGTTTGGGTGTACAGCAATACACAATAAAGTGCTATATAAATGCTTCATTCATTCATTCATTCATTCATAAAATATTCTAAAGTTCAGCTAATTGCATTCAATATGAAACTATATTGGTATTGTAAAGCGGTTTGGGTGTACAGCAATACACAATAAAGTGCTATATAAATGCTTCATTCATTCATTCATTCATTCATTCATAAAATATTCTAAAGTTCAGCTAATTGCATTCAATATGAAACTATATTGGCAATTCTCTCCTTATTTCTGTCATATTAATAGGTCTCAGTCTGTTGGAAGGTCAGTCTCGTCCAATCACATGGGATCAGTTTCAAATTGTCGACAATGACAACCTGAAGGCTGTGAAGATCATCACTGTGGACGGCCTGCAGCACGGGAGACTAACAGTTAGAGGTACACATACAGATGATTTTTCCTGAGTTATTAATGTTACATCAAATTCAGTCATATCTTTGCATTTTGCACTAAACAATCTCACTACCACTGTATGTGTATCTGTATGTAAGGTGGAAAAGGTTTCATGTTCACTGTGAAAGATATAAAGGATGGCGCGGTTCGCTACCACCACGATGACAGCGACACGACTAAAGATTATATAGTCTTTCGCATTACTGATGGCTTGCATCAAACCAGACACAAGTTTCCTATCAACATCTTGCCCAAAGACGACAGTCCACCCTTCCTCATTACCAATATGGTGCTGGAGCTGTCTGAAGGCCAGACGGCTCTTCTGAGAGGATCCATGTTGCAAGCCTGTGATTTGGACTCTAGTGATGACTACATCATGTTCAACATCACCAGACCTCCAGAGGCAGGAGAAATCATGAAGATGCCTGGTCCTGGCATCACAGGTGAGGAAAGCTTAATTGAATGAATTTAATTCTTACACTCTTAAAAATAACTGTCACTCCCCATTTTTTAAAATAGGCATTAAAGTGCACTATCCAAACTTAAATTGTTATAATTCATGAACACTTTGGGATACAGAGGAAAGGTTGGTCTCTTTTTAAAGAATTATTGAAGAAGTGGAATTATTTCAAAAAATTTAAATATCAAAAAGTTATAGAAGTTTAAATTTACTGTAAAGAAAATGCACTGTACCATTTTTATTATATTTTATATAAAACGAATATTTTACATAAAAGGTTTTACTATAAAATTAATTAAAAAAAGTAAAGCCTTATGTCTAAATAAGTTATGTTCCAAATTTGAAGTTGATATGAAAAAAATGGGTTCCCTTTCAGTCAGTCACTCCGAGTCACGTCGGTGACCGACGAATTGGGATCCCAATACGTCGGTCACCGACATGACGTCTCTGTTCCCTCCTTCAGGGAACCACCAGGTGCCATCCAAACTCCATTGAATTTTTTTAATGCATTTTTCTGTCACAAATGTCTACATTTCTTTGTCAATATTACTTCTACCAAATATGGAATCCTGAGACTCAGACCTTTCCTATGATATGTTTTATGTCAAGATTATAAAAAGTTTTGATTGTAAAAGACTGTAATGCATTTTGTAATATGACACTTGACACCGCCCGCTAAGGGGGAGGAGACCGCCTAACGATTTTAAAGTACCATTTCCATGGTAAAGCAATGTCCGATTTCAAATCATGAATCTTGGGCTTCGAAGCTTTCAAACGATATATAATTTATGATGATTACTAAAATATTTGATAGAGAAAAAGGACAACAAGTTAAAAGAACGCCAAGCATCCCACAGGTGGGACAGTGACAGTTAAGGGGTTAAAAGGTTCTTCACAGCGATGCCATAGAAGAACCATTTTTGGTTCCACAAAGAACCATTCAGTCAAAGGTTCTTTAAAGAACCATCTCTTTCTTACCTTTTTATAATCTGAAGAACCTTATTTCGCCACAGAGAACCTTTTGTGAAACAGAAAGGTTCTTCAGATGTTTAAGGTTCTTTATGGAACCATTCAGACAAAAAAAGTTCTTCTGTGGCATCATGAAGCACCTTTATTTTTAAGAGTGTAATTCATTCTCGGGGGAACTGAGTTTCCTCAGGCGTCCTTTAAATACTGTTTTATATTTGTGCAGGATATCCAGTGACCCGTTTTCTTCAGAAGGACCTCTTCCACTCCATCATCTACTATCGACACTCAGGCGCTGAGGTGTTTGATGACTGTTTTGAGGTGGTGCTCTCTGACTTTCATGACCCTCCTAATCTATCAGAGCCTCAGGTAATTTCTGGATATCCTCCATTGATTGATGCGATATCTCTAACATTCTTCCCAGCTAACAGGGAATGGTCTTACAACTTTCACTTATGTTTTTTAAAAAGTTATATAAATGTTAGGACATTCTAGGACATTCCATCCTGTTTATGGAATGTTCTTATAACCTTATTAATATTTGATATACGTTGTCATAACGTTGAGAGAAAACATTCTTAGAACAGCATTCTCGGAACATCCTTGTACTTGAAGAACGTTCTAAGAAATGTTTATGTCTCATGACATTTTATCGTTCTTAGGATATTAAAAATAAACATAAAAATAACCTATTTTAAGTGAAAATAAAGTTTGTAGAACATTGTAAGAAACATTTATGTAATCTTTAAAAAACATTATTATCACGGCAAAAAAGCGGACATTTTAACGTTCTTAGAATATTAAGCAATAATCGGTTAAATAATGTTATGTTTTAGGTGAAAATAAAGTTAGTACAACATTCAAAGAAACACTAATATTCTTAGAATATTAAGCAATAATCGGTTAAATAATGTTATGTTTTAGGTGAAAATAAAGTTAGTACAACATTCAAAGAAACACTAATATTCTTAGAATATTAAGCAATAATCGGTTAAATAATGTTATGTTTTAGGTGAAAATAAAGTTAGTACAACATTCAAAGAAACACTAATATTCTTAGAATATTAAGCAATAATCGGTTAAATAATGTTATGTTTTAGGTGAAAATAAAGTTAGTACAACATTCAAAGAAACATGTTTGTAACCTTTAAATAGTGTTATAATCATAACAAGAAAACCAGACATTTTAACATTCTTAAAATAATAAAAATAAACAGTCAAACAATGTTATATTTGAGGTGAAAATAAAGTTGGTGGAATGTGGTCAGAAACATGTTTGTAACCTTTAAATAATGTTATAATCACAACAAGAAGACTATACATTTTAACATTCTTAGAATATTAAGCAATAATCGGTTAAACAATGTTATATGTTAGGTGAAAATAAAGTTAGTACAACATTCAAAGAAACACTTTAATGTTCTTAGAATATTAAGCAATAAACTATTAAATAATGTTATGTTTTAGGTGAAAATAAAGTTAGTACAACATTCAAAGAAACACTTTAATGTTCTTAGAATATTAAGCAATAAACTATTAAATAATGTTATGTTTTAGGTGAAAATAAAGTTAGTACAACATTCAAAGAAACACTTTAATGTTCTTAGAATATTAAGCAATAATCGGTTAAATAATGTTATATTTTAGGTGAAAATAAAGTTAGTACAACATTCAAAGAAACACTTTAATGTTCTTAGAATATTAAGCAATAATCGGTTAAATAATGTTATGTTTTAGGTGAAAATAAAGTTAGTACACCATTCTAAGGAACATTTTTGTAACCTTTAAATAGTGTAATAACTTAATAAATAATATTGTAATCATGGCAAGAAAACTGGACACATATGGTTCTTCACTAAGCAAGTGATCTTTGCAGGTCATTGTGATTCAAATCCAGCCAGTCCCCGATCAGCCTCCACAGGAGGCACCAGGTGTGACCAGACACTTGGTTCTCAAGGAGACCGATGTCATCTACTTGACCAAGCAGCAGCTGCACTTTGTGGATTTGGAGTCACCGGATAGTGAGCTCACGTACACCGTCACCACCCCACCTTTCTACAGCACCACCTATGGGTACAAAATTAAACTACTCTGCTTAAGAAGCCCTTGCAGTCCACAGGATGCTATTGAATTCAAACTGTTACCTGCATCTTATAATGTGACATGTATGAGTTGTACGTTTTCATTTCCAGAGGCCCTGATGCAGGAAGGTTGTTTCTGGTTGACAGTATTCCAAAATTTACCAAGGACCCAAATGCTCCGATGCTGAGACTTTTCACTCAGGTAAATACTCTATCTGAACTAGGGTTAGACATATTATTTTCCAGAAGTATCTGAAGCTGTGCACGATCCTCTCTTTGTAGCATGCGGTCAACTATATGAAGGTTGCTTACATGCCCCCCATCCTGGACATTGGACCGTTCCCTCAGCACATCCAGTTTGTCCTGTCAGTGACCAATCAGCAAGGCAGCACGACCGCTGGGATCTGCTTCAATGTAACGGTTCTGCCGGAGGATAACCTGGCACCAGAGGTACAGCAGCCCTCATCGACCCAATCCAGAACAGAAAATCATTATAGGGCATGCTAGTAGTGCTTATCGAGGAGACTTGTGCTATAGTACTTTCTACTGTAATCTGATATTCACGTGATGGGCAATAAAATGACCCAAAAAGTAGATTTTGATTGAAGGAGGGACAGGAACCATTTCTAAGGACTAGAATATCATTGAGCAGCGGTTCTCAACCTTTTTGACTGCAAGGCCCCTATTGTCAATATTCAAAGCCATCTTAAGATATTTCTCTTACTTCTGCTGTAATGAAAAAGCTTATTCAAACTTATGTATTTATATAATCTATGAATGTCAATATATTAATATTGATATTTTGATATAAAAATAAATGAAGAGTTTATTTGCAAAAACAGATCATTTTTTTATTGTGTTTTATTGTGTTAGTTAGCTATATTTTTTTAGTTATTATTATATAATCAAAACAACCCAACTGCAGTTTGATTGATATTAATTGGAATGCAGGGTAAAAAAAAACATGACTTTTGCACATTTTTAAAAACGTTATCTGTTTTTGCAAATAAACTCTTCAAATATTATAATAATTATATGCTAATATATAACAATTATATATAATGACTGAAACAATTATGAGTAAATAAGAAAATGATATTCCACAATTGCAGAGGTTTCAATAAAATTTTATTTACTCACAGATAGCAATTTTTACCCAATAAAATAATTTATAGCATACAGTAACGAGAAAATGATATTAATTTCTTAAAACTAATTCATTTACATGATGTTTCCAGAAGTAATGCCAGTTTTAATATTAGGCTTTCTTATATCCATCTTTGTGGGATGGTGTTATTTTAGTATTATTGATTATTAACTAAAAAACTATTAGAAATAGATTTTATTTTTATTTTTTTCACTTGAATTTTAGCTAAAGTTTTGGTAATTTTTTTGTGTGTGTTTTTCTTATTCATATTAGTTTTTTTTATTTTGTCTATATTTTTTCATTAATTTGTCTTTATTTTTCATTCATTAAATTTTTTGTTTATTGCAATTAGTTATTTTAGTATTTCAACTTAAAATAAATGAAAATGGGAAATGTTGCCTTTGCAACTAGCTGAACTAAAATGAGTTTAAGTTTTTATTACACCTTATGTTTTCACCATTTTAATATAATTTTATATATTAGGTTAGTTTTCGTATATTTAAGTTTTTATTTGTAATTCTGAGCTTGCTCAAGTCAGTAGATGATTTTACTATTAGCATGATGCTGATGATACACGTTTTGCCATCACCTACTCACCGATTTTCTAAACTATACCACTTTATTATTCATAGATATCAGTGCTATACAAACACAAGTGCTAGTTGAGTGCTGGATGTGTTTCTTGTCATCTGCAGGTGCACGTGGAGCCGCTGGCGGTGGATGAGGGTGGAGAGAGCTGGGTGAGAGAAGACCACATGCGCCTGTCAGACCAGGACTCTCTACAGGACTCTCTGCACGTGGAGCTGAAGACCGGACCCCAGCATGGCAGCATTTACCTGGACGGCACAGCCATGAGCCCAGGCCAGACTTTCACAGTCAGGGATCTGAAAAGCCTAAAAGTTAGGTCAGATGTGGTTCCTCATAGTTTGTTTGGGTTCACTGTAAACACTTTAAAGCAAGACACATCAGGCAAAAACATTTTTGTCATTTGGCTTTTAATAAGGATTTGTTTCAGACTATTATAAAGAAAACATCCAAAATGCAATTTTAAGAGTTTATTGAATTTCACTTTATCTATTTGCGTCTGTATATTTCAATCATAAAACGTAACTTTAAAGGCCATTTTTTCAAAAAGTTTTTTTTTGACATGCACAAAATCTTTATGGAAGAGTATTAGGGCCGAGCAATAAATAAAAAAATAAAACCATCTCGAGATTAAAGTCGTTAAATTTCGAGAAAAAAAGTCGAGATAAAATGTTGAGAATAAACTCATTAAATAACGAGAAGAAAGTCGTTAAATTGCGAGAAAAAAAGTCGAGATAAAATGTTGAGATTAAACTCATTAAATTTCGAGAATAAAGTCGTTATGTTTCGAGAAAAAACTCGTTAAATTTCAAGAATAGAGTCGTTATGTTTCGAGAAAAAACTTGTTAAATTTCGAGAAAAAAAGTCTAAATAAAATGGTGAGAATAAACTCATTAAATTACGAGAAAAAAGTCGTTAAATTGCGAAAAAAAAAGTCGAGATAAAATGTTGAGAATAAACTCATTAAATTTTGAGAATAAAGTCGCTAAATTGCGAGAAAAAAAGTCGAGATAAAATGTTGAGAATAAACTCATTAAATTTTGAGAATAAAGTCGCTAAATTGCGAGAAAAAAAGTCGAGATAAAATTTTGAGAATAAACTCATTAAATAACGAGAAAAAAGTTGTGAAATTGCAAGAAAAAACGTCGAGATAAAATGTTGAGCATAAACTCATTAAATAACGAGAAAAAAGTTGTTAAATTGCGAGAAAAAAAGTCGAGATAAAATGTTGAGAATAAACTCATTAAATTTCGAGAATAAAGTCGTTGTGTTTCGAGAAAAAACTTGTTAAATTTCGAGAAAAAAAAGTTTAAATAAAATGTTGAGAATAAAATCATTAAATTACACGAAAAAGTCGTTAAATTGCGAGAAAAAAAGTCGAGATAAAATGTTGAGAATAAACTCATTAAATAACGAGAAGAAAGTCGTTAAATTGCGAGAAAAAAAGTCGAGATAAAATGTTGAGAATAAACTCATTAAATAACGAGAAGAAAGTCGTTAAATTGCGAGAAAAAAAGTCGAGATAAAATGTTGAGAATAAACTCATTAAATAACGAGAAGAAAGTCGTTAAATTGCGAGAAAAAAAGTCGAGATAAAATGTTGAGAATAAACTCATTAAATAACGAGAAGAAAGTCGTTAAATTGCGAGAAAAAAAGTCGAGATAAAATGTTGAGAATAAACTCATTAAATAACGAGAAGAAAGTCGTTAAATTGCGAGAAAAAAAGTCGAGATAAAATGTTGAGAATAAACTCATTAAATTACGAGAAGAAAGTCGTTAAATTGCGAGAAAAAAAGTCGAGATATAATGTTGAGAATAAACTCATTAAATAACGAGAAGTCGTTAAATTGCGAGAAAAAAGTCGAGATAAAATGTTGAGAATAAGCTCATTAAATAACGATAAGAAAGTCGTTAAATTGCGAGAAAAAAAGTCGAGATAAAATGTTGAGAATAAACTCATTAAATAACGAGAAGAAAGTCGTTAAATTACAAGAAAAAAAGTCGAGATAAAATGTTGAGAATAAACTCATTAAATAACGAGAAGAAAGTCGTTAAATTACAAGAAAAAAAGTCGAGATAAAATGTTGAGAATAAACTCATTAAATAACGAGAAGAAAGTCGTTAAATTACAAGAAAAAAAGTCGAGATAAAATGTTGAGAATAAACTCATTAAATAATGAGAAAAAAGTTGTTAAATTGTGAGAAAAAAAAGTCGAGATATAATGTTGCGAATAAACTCATTAAATAACGAGAAAAAAGTCGTTACATTTCGAGAAAAAACTCGTAAAATTTTAAGAAAAAGTTGAGAATAAGCACACTTGTGTCATGTTCATTTCATCTCGTTGGACGGTGTTATTTAGCGTCTGCAGTGGGGTGGGTCGGAGAGTAATGCACTGGGTAGCAGCAATGATACGATCGACTGGGTTCAGAGTTCGTCTTTTGCCAAACTCGCTTTTCTTCCTTTTTTCATCACATTTTACATCGGAAAAGTGGAAATCAATTGCTTAACGAGTGTTTAATAATAATATATTAATTAGGGGTAGGCAGGCTATAGGGAGGGCTATGTTGTCATTGGCTCAAAGTCAACTGTTTGGTTACCAACATACCAACTTATACAGGTTTGGAATGACATGAGGGTGAGCAAATCATGACAGAATTTTCATTTTTGGGTGAACTATCCCTTTCAGTTAAATTCCACTTTGCTGGTTCGTTTCCTCTGTGCTATCTTAAGTTTTGACTCTTTTGTCTCAACAGATATCGCCACGACAGCTCTGAGACAGAACATGATGATATTAAATTCATTGCCACAGATGGGATAAATATTGCTGACTTTGTACTACGTGTCAAGGTAATGAAGTAATTTTTATCGCAACAGAAACACATGAAGACATCTAACAAACCCATGTTTGACAGGTGACGCTGGTCAACGATGAGGTGCCAGTCCTCGTGCCAGGATTGAAGCCCGTTTTAGTCTGTGCAGAGGGACAGGAAGTGCTGATCACCATAGAGTACATCTGTGCCACTGATCCTGACAGTGACGACAGCACCCTGATGTATATGATCGCCCGACAACCATATCACGGGGTAGTTCAAAGAAACGGCATCATTGTGGACCGCTTCATTCAAGCGGATGTAACTGCTGGCTTAATTTCCTATAGACACACAGGTAATATGAGAATAATGGCACTGGATTTCTGTTTCATTTAATATCCAATCATATTTTGACCTACCCTTTTGAAAATAAAGTACACTTTAGCATACTTTCAAAACAAGTATTGATGCTTGAAAATAATATACTTAAAGGCACAATATGTAAGATTTTTTTATTAAAATATCCAAAAACCACTAGAACAGTGTTATATATTTTGCTGACATGTGTACTTACATTATCCCAAATGTTTCGAAGAATGTTTAAATCCAGAGAAATAAGCAATTTTAACTAGTGACACGGACCGTGTCCATAGTGTCATTGTGTCGCCTGCTAATGACGTCATAGCCCCTCGATTTCCGGTTTTGTTTTGTAGAAAACATGGAAACACCAAAGACGCTTTAATATGTTAAGTGTTTTAATAGACCGGTGACGACCGCACAGAGTAGCATTATAACAGAACTTTCAAACGTATCTAGTATGATACGCACATACGCACGACCGGAAGCAGCGGAAGCAGTCGACTGTGGCATAATAAAAGTCACGCTCGTTCAGCGGCCTCGTTTCGCTTCGACGGCTTTCAGCATCACCCTGCTTCGTTCTACTACGTTAATACATCATTAGCTCATTCATGAACATGATTTCTGCCCGAGTCCCGTCGGATTGCATCAGCTGTGGAAGACCACAACTCCCATGATTCCACACTCAGTCACGGCGTCATCAAACTACGCCTTTGTCTCTTTGTTTATTTTGAATACACGCCCTCTAGCGGCGAAAATTACATATTGTGCCTTTAAGTGCAAATTGAATTTGATGTTTTTGGACACTTAATTGCATGTTAACAGCAATTAAATTAACATGAATTGTGGTTAAAATTTTTATTAAATGCAATTAGTTGAAATTTGGAGTGCTTTTTGACCCACTTAAAGGTTTAGTTCATCCAAAAATGAAAATTGTCATTAATTACTCACCCTCATGTCGTTCCAAACCCGTAAGACCTCTGTTCATCTTCGGAA